TTTAAGATGTATAACATTTTGAGAAATATATGTTTTATATAACAAAATATTTTAAGAAATATTGTGAAACTGTCATCTAAAATGACTATACCAATTTAACTTTCAAAAACAATGAAACAGAACAATGGACCAGTTAACTTTTACCTTAATTATATTAGGTTCTATAATATAGAATTATATAGAATATAATTAGATTCTATTAATACACGCGTATCAGTCATACATCATATAGGTAAAAATATCTTTTTAAGACCACCTACTTTTACCCTTTACCCCTTTTTCTAATTAGTTGCTAGTCTTTTTTCTTATTAATGCATAACCAGTCTTTGTCATATATGTTAAAGATTTTGAGGTCCAGTTTGTCTTTTGAGTTTCTTATGGCCTTATTTTTAAAATGTTATGTAGATTTACTGTTTTTTTTTTTTCCTTTATGGCTCCTGGATGGGATATTTCTTCTCTTCAAGATTATGAAAATATTCTAGTACTTTTTATTTCATTTTTAAGCTTTTGATCTACCTGGATGTTTCCTAGTAAAAGATCCAGCTTTCTCCCCCAAATGGCAAGCTGTCTCAATCCCATTTATTGAAAAAGTAATTATTTGTATTAATTTTAAATGCCACCAATCCTACACTGGTGAACCATACGTACTGTGTTTACTTTCTGTAACCTAAGTGAATTATAGATTTCTATGCGAACACCATAAAACTTTACTACAATTTCATAAATTTTAATGAGTCCAGCCTTATTACTCTTCTTTTTCAGGTTTTTCCTGGCACTTCTCCCACGTTCTTCAAAATGAACTTCAGTCATTTTGTCATGAACTCTCTTCCTTCTCAATAAATAAATGAGTGAATAACAAAAAAACCAAAATCCCCTTGATATTTTAATTAGGATCATATGAGATTTAAAGGTCATTTAAGAAATGTTATTTCTATAGTACTGAGTCCCTGAAGAACAAGGCATTTGTTTCCACTTATCAAATCTTTCAAGTCATTCAGTATAGTTTAAGTTTTCTTCATATAGATCTTTCATATTTCTTTCAATAGTTTTTTATTAGCACTAGATGAAAGTGAACATAAAGTTATAAACCCCATAAAGAGATTAGGTAAAGAAGTTACTTTACTGGTGAAAGAGCCACTATCTTAAAGTAGTTTGGGATCTGTTCTAAAGTAAGTAGGCAAGCCTACATTTCTTTATTAAGCTCCTCTATTTTTAATAGAGAATGTCAATCTTACTTTGGCTTAACTTATTCTTAACATATGCATCCCTGAACTTCTCTTCGTTCATGAAAGCTGTCCATTATGATGTTCTTACAAATTCACCAGTCCTCTAAAATTCATCTTCATTTAATACAGCGGTTCTCAATCTGTTCCTGTCGCGACCCAGAGAACTATACTAAAGGTTCGCAGGATTAGGAAGGTTGAGAACCACTGATTTAATACATTTTGACTTCATAGACTGATTAATGTTATACCTAACTATGACATCTGACTATCAGCGAAAATTATAGTTTTTTTCTTAGAAAAATTCACACATCATTTTGCATATAATTTTAGCAGATTTGCAGTCATACTGGTCAAAAGTTCCTCCCATAAAGGCTGCCTGGGCTAGAATGAAATTGTTCCTCTAAGGTATTGATTTCATCTGCTGCTATAGTTACCTGCTGAGAGTTCTACAGTGATAATTCCAGCTGTCACAGTAGCACATAAGTCACACTTCAGTGGGAGACATTTAAATTTAAAACTTTGAGGGGAAACAGTTTCAGACTTTCATAGGAAAGTTACAAAAACAGTGTAAAAAATTCTTGACTCAGATTCCTCAAAAGTTACCATTAACACATTTAAATTTCAAATAGCTTTGAACTGAATTTTTGACTATATTGTAGCTCAAGCTACTTAAATAAGCAAAGGATCAATTTAATACCTGCGGGGTATTAATAATAACCTCAGTACAAGATCAAAATCGCTTATCAATAATTCCAAAATCCCTAAGTCTCCAAAACGACAAGATTTTTCTTAATTCCTGTGGTGGCAAAACCAGACTGGGCCAGTTTACAGTCACAATGTATCCATTATAATGTGAACATGTACAGGTTTCTCTGCAGAAGTAGCATTATTGTTTGATTTTGCAGAGCTGTCCCAGACCCAGGAGGGGTGAATGTAAAACACAGTATGCATAGCATATTGCTAAGAATTTTAATCAATGGAATGTCATTGTTTTTTATTTACTATGTCCCAGTACTATTGTTCAGTTATTATTTCATTAAATTCTCTCAATAACCCAGTAAGTTAGATCTTGCTCAAGGTCATCTGTGTGTCAAATGGGAGGCAATAAGGAAATTCAAGTTTACCTGAGTCAAAGCTTTAACCAACTTTTGAAAGTTAGCTGAAAAAAGTACTGAAAACTAGTCTCTCAGAAATGGAATACTGGGGGCATGGTAGCTCAAAAAATTTCATATCCCCTTCTTCCTTCTGTCCAGAAAATATTGTAATCATCTAAAACTTTCGTCATTTTCATGTGAATGACTAATAAAATAAGTATCCTGAATAAGGTACTTTTAAATGTCTTTTTTTCTTTTTTTCCCCCTAAAGAGGAAGCACAGGACATCAGAATCCTGCTTGTATCATACATTACTGAGAAAAGATTGGAACTATAAATTCAGTAAGTATGTCTTCTGTATTTATCTAAATCAGTGGTTCTCAAAGAGGAGTAATTTGGCTTCTTCCAGTGGACATCTGGCAATGTCTAAACAAGAAATGAAAAAAATCTAACAACTCAGCCTCTAATAATTAAAGAGACAAGTAGTATTGTTTTGAGAAGGACAATCTGGGAGTTTCTCTTGAAAGTTTAAATGCATGTACTCTTTAATGCAGTAACTTCACTTTCTAGGAATTGATTTCATGGAAAAAGTCACATAAGCACACAAAACCATTTGTTCAATGATATTTGTTATGGCATTATTTGTAATAACTAAAGATTAGAAACAGGATAAACCAGAATATGGGGATAGTTAAATTAGTCAAAGTTGGAATATACTATTTAAAAATAATGAAGTAGCTTTCCATTAACAAGAAAAGAAGGTCAAAATATAATGCTAAATGGAAAATCTAGGTGCAAGAAAAAATTATGTACATATATTCACAAAAAATTAGTAATATTTAACTTGGGGAGAGAATGTTACTTTTTATAGTTTTAAGTATTTAATATTATTTTACTTTATTAAATGAAAGAAAGAACAAACAGAATTAGAAGGACACATGAAATGTTATCACAGGTCATCTCTAGATCGTAGAATTATTGGTGCTATGTCTCCTTTAAAACTTTTTATGATGTGGATGTATTATTTTTACAATAGCTACTATAAAATAACTCTTTCCTACATGCCAGTTACTGCCCAAGTGAATTAATAACACTAAAGCCCACAACTTTATATGATAACTATCATCAGCTCCATTTTACAGATGTGAAAGACACTAAGATATTGACTCTAACGCCTACTATGTAATATGTTGCTAATTTCCTTGTGGAAAAACACTAAAAATATAAGAAAATCAACTCCAAATCTCTATATGTTCATGAGTAAAAAGCTAATACAAGACGAGTCTGATTTGATATTTCAGAGACCTGGGGCGTTTCAAAGTAACAGAAAATATACATTTAATTACTAAACCTAGAGCACATTGAGTATAATATTCTTGAAAAAAATACACATACATTCACATACCCAGAGGCACAAAAATGTTAGACTTGAGGCTATATGTTTTATAGTACAAAGAACTAACCTCTGATGACGATCATTCTGAATGATTTCATCATACAAAAAGGAACACATTTTATATCTGAGAAGGTACAAACTATTAGTCATCCTAAACTTCAAACAAATTATTTCAATTTCTACAAACGTCTACAAATGCACAAAGGAATCATCTCATATTTGATAAATGCAAGACATTACTTTTGGAAGTCAATCAGGAAGAAAGAAAATCATTTTTATAAATATTCGTCTTGAAACAAAATTATGTAACAGTCTCAAAAAGGTGAAAAGTTTTATTAGAATAATGATAGACAATTATAATGGCTCTGTCTTTTCAATTTATGTGAAATAGTAAAACTGGAAAGAACCTCAGAATCTGCCCACCTCAACTTCCACACCACACAGATGAGGCCCAGAGAAAAAGAGGTGAAGAGGGAAGGACTTTCTCAGGTTTTTTACTCTACATCCAAAATCTTGACCTCTAAAAGACAGAGTCCAATAATTTAGCTGGCTACTTAAATTACTTTTGGACCCTGATTTCCTCTGTTCTAGGGGCCTTTTCAACACTTTCAGAGAAGCGCAAATTAATCTTGTCCTATCAACACTCAAACATTCACCATTAGAGTAAATGATTTCTAAGTCCCCTTCTTCCTCATTGCCAGATTTTAAAGGAAATAGTATTTGCAATCTCAATGTAGAAAGAATTATAAAAGAGCTGCTCTAATTAAAACAGTAGAAGGCTCCTACTTTTTTGACTCATTGTTTTGTCCTTAAAGCCCCTGAAATACTTTCATGGTTTCTTAAGTCTCAAAGAAACAGTTTATTTCCAAAGTATGAGAGTGGTACTAGGGCATTGCTACTGAAAATATGCTTCAGAAATAATCAGCACCACTGGGGAGCTTGTTAGAAAGGCACAATATCAAACTCCAACCCAGACCTACTGAAAAATCAAAGCAAACACATTTAACAAGACCTCTAGATGATTCATATACACATTAATGTTTGAGAAGCTTCTCAAAGGATTAATCTCGATATCTCTCTCTCTCTCTCTCACACACATACACTTCAAGCCCAAAGTTTTATTAGAGTCACATGACATAACTACTGCAGTTAGCTTGTCATGCACCAATAACAGATAGTTCACGTATCACACTTTGGGTAGCAATGCTCCATAGCAAACCACCCCTTAAAAGATGTACCTGATCAAATGAGAACACAAAATATTAAAAAGAAGTTTGCAACTTACTTCTTATCGAAAAATGTTGAATTCTCTTTCCTCTTTGTGAATCCATTAGGTAGAAGTTTTAAGTTAATACCTTGCCTTCGTGCACGATTTTTCATAAAGTACATCTAACAAAAAAAATCCCCACAAATTAATATACAGTATTTCTACTTTATGATTTTGTTTATATATATATATACACACACACACACACTTTTTTTTTTTTCTTTAGAGACAGCGTCTTACTTTGTAGCCCTCAGTAGAGTACCGTGGTATCACAGCTCACAGCTTCCAGCTCTCGGGCTTAGGTGAGTCTCTTGCCTCAGCCTTTCAAGTAGCTGGGACTACAGGTACCTGCCACAACACCCAGCTATTTTTTTCTTGCAGTTTGGCTGGGGCCAGGTTCAAACCTGCCACCCTCAGTATATGGGGCCAGTGCCCTACCCACCGAGCCACAGGCACCACCCCCCTTTATGATTTTTAATATGCATGCTATTATTTCACAATTTAAAACATTTTAAAAGTAATTTATCTTTAAGTAGATTTTAATTATGCTTAATTAAGCTAGAGGAAAAATAAGTTGATACATGATAATATTCTTCCAAGTATGTGTAATATCATGTCTATGCCAGAAATATCAATAAAATGAAAGGTTTAAAAGATATTAAAATCTTGCAATTCCAATACTAAAATGGTCTTTGTAAAAGGAACATAATTCCACGTAATATGATACTATTACTGAACAATGCCAATTGCAAACTATTTCAAATAGGTAAGCTTTAATTTTGTATAGTGTGCTTAAGGAATGATAATGGATGCAGAGTATGAAAATTAAGCACATTAGAACATCAAGTCTCTTCAGTCACTCTGTCCCTCTTTTAATTCCTGACACATACTCACCTTGTTCCTCACTCAGGTCTTTCCTCTACTGGAATAATCTTCCTCCAAATGTTCCCACGACAACCTCCTTCCTATCATTCAGGTCACTGTTTAAATATCACCTCTAAGAGAAGCTTCTCCTGACCATTGTTATTGAAAATAGTACCCTAATAACCTCCTTCCAACAAACACCATTTTCATTCCTGTTACTCTCCTGAGCCTTCTTTATTTCCTACATGCACTTAATTCTATTTGAAATTACAATAGTATCTCATTTCCTGTCTCTCACACTAATACAAGCTCCATGAGGCAAAAGACTTTGTTTTGATCACTGCCATATTCCTAGTAACCGAAATAGCCAGTATTATGGTAGCATGAATCTTACTGATTGAAAGGAATTCTAATTGTGAGGGGTTAGGGAAAAAAATACTTACATGTTTATTGCTCATTGGTCTTTTCAAGAAAGCATCTCTAGAAATATGGTCTGCTGTTCTTGCCACATCTTCCAAAAATCTATAATCTAAAAATTTCAAAATAACAAAATAAACATTATAATGACATATACAATGGCCAGGAAGCATCAATCTGCTATGCATAAAATGGCTTACCACTCAGGAGATTCATTTCAGTAAACTGATGAATGGAAACATAGGCAGTTTTATCTCGGACTCCATTACATGTCAGTTCTGTTTTGTGTTTCTTGACACAAGGCAAACTAAAGGAATAAAAAGGAAGCGCTTGTATGTTTTATGGTTAAAAAGGTACAGATATAGGTAATAAGGCAGGAGGTGACATACATACCTGCAGGAATATCGCATGCAACGTGGACATCTGTACTTGGCTTCTTCTGTGCCACAAGTTTCACACCTACAAAAGCCCATTTACGATTTATCATGTTATCAAATATTAATTCTACTCATCTGTTTATTAACTCTGAATACTGATTCAATTACTTGTCACGATTTATAAACAGTCATAGGGAATAAAATATACACAATTATACAGTGGATGGGATTAAGTATTTCTTTGAGGAAGGAGACAACACATTCTATTCAAAAAAGACAACAGCCTTTTATTTTTTACATGCATTATGCCATGAATTCACAGAGAATAGGTTCCAGCAGCTCAGTGTACTTTCCACTGACCCTCACAATGTGTGTTACACCTATTATGCCATGGGGAATAGGATCCAGCACCTCAAGCCCCTTCCCATTGGCTCTCACAAAGTGGGCTTCAAAGTGGGCTTCTCTGGGTGGAGCAGGCTGGGGCTTCACTTGAACCCAGGTACCTTTCTCTTTGACTTCCTTCTTTTTCTGATCATTTTCCTTCACACATTACAAAAAGCTACCCTGGCTACTTGGAGTGCTTAATATGCTCAATTACAAACATTAATCCTCTTGGCAAATCTTGCCCTTAACTTGTTTGTTACAACAATGCCAACAACATGCTGGGTAACACTGTTGATTCTTTCGGTTTTGCCATGGTCACATCTATGTGGCATGCCTTTTTGAACAATACCCATTCCTTTGATGTCTATATCACCTTTCTTGTAGACTTGCATTTATGTGGCCAAAGGAACAACTCCATGTTTTCTAAAAGGCCTAGAGAAGATGTATATCAAGCGACTCTCCTCTCTCCCGTTGAGTTCATCATTTTGGTCAATTACTAGAAGATGGCATCTTTGGCAAAAGCTAAGTTTTTTTTTTTTTAAGAATATGTAAATAACTGATAAAGTATTTGGCAGATGTCAAACATCATTTGAAAATTCTTCTTTGGGAAACTGTCTCCAAATAACAACTACATTTATAATGGTGTTACTGGTATGTAACTGAAGAAAACATGTACTAAATTTTAAAAGACTCTTCTCACTTTTAACTTCTTTTTCTACTATAATCAGAGAACGAGGTTATTCACTGATATTTTAACTTGTAATTCCTGGCAATTTGGTAATGACTGTGTGATTGTATGTGTTGCCCAATCCATGAGTTATGTTTAGATATTTTAAAAGTGTGTATATACACCAGAAAACAGAATATAAGATCCAATCAAATTTAAAGACTAGCAGTAGCACCTTTTACCATCAACTCCACACCTAATCTGGAATAGGTTTTTTAATCCAGAAATGCTTTTATCCATCTGTCTAGAAATGCTTTTATCCATCTGTCTTCAAACGTTCTTCTAGGATTTGGAACAACCAGACTATAGCTATATCTATTTGGCTCACTGTTCAGTAGTATTCCCAAGAATCTCACCACTTTTTATTTCCTTTGTTGTCACATGATTGATCACACACTAAGGAAATTAAATCAAAAGCAATAAATATTCATAGTACCCATACAGAAGCTAGATAATTTAGAAATGTGAAGTATGTTTCTAATTGGCTTTGTCATTGTTGGTTTTGTTAGACTTTTTCTTGTCTCTAACCTCTCTCAAAGGAATACTGAGTCAAAAGTCAAGCCAGATCATGTTCCAAAGGACATTATGGTCCCCAGAAACTTTGCTTTCCTAACTTGACCATTACCCATTGCACACCATAAACTTCATGTATTTTCACAGTCATTTGTCACCACCTAACAACACCTTCCCCTTCCCAACCCTGCCAACCACCACCATTCGGACTCCAGAAACCCAAACTTATGCTTATTTTTCATTATTCCCCTTTCTGCTGACAGTGTTGTTTCCTTCACTTTAGACAGGAGGACATCACAGTTTTATTCCGCCAACTGGATTTCTCCCTGTCTTACCTTGACATGGCCAGTTTTCGCTTGCAGCCCACTGGGTGATTTATCTGAGGCTCTTCTTTCACCTTTGTATCATCCATCACTTCCTCCTTTAAGTAATCTTTCTCTTCTTTTACAAACATTCCATCCATCATCTCCTCTTTTTTAATGCTCTGACCAAGGAACATCTCTTCCTGTTCTATTTTCAAGTTATCCTCCTGCTCCTCCTTCACTTCTAGCCAGTCCATTACCTCTTCCTTCACCTTCACCTTCTCTTCCTTTACGTCAGGTTCATCCAGCTTCTCTTCTTTTACCACCAAACTACTCTCCATCTCCTGCTTCACCTCCAATATGCCTGCCTTCTCTTCCTTCACCTCAGGCCTATCCTCTACCTCCTGCTTTACCCACTGGCCATCCAACGTGTCTTCTATTTCCGGCCAGTCCATAACTTCTTGCTTCACAACCGTTAAGTCCACTCCCATCTCTACGTTTTGTCCACTTCCTAACCCTGCCAGGCCATCCCCCTCCTCTCCGGCCTTGGCCTCCTCCATCCCTAAGTCCCAGTCCCCCTCCCCACCCGACTTAGGATGTAACCGCGCCCCCTCAGCTACACTCTGGAAACTACCCCCTGACGTCCCTTCACTTTCAGCAGCAAACTCCATCAACTCACCACCCTTGACCTCTGCTCCCACTTCAATTTTTCAGCGTGGCTGATCCACGCCTACAGGAAGAATTACTGGCCAGAACAGCAACAGCAGCCCACGTGTGAAGGCGAGAAAGGTTAAGCCCCGAACTCCTGCCAGGCACTGTCGCCCGGATCGCCGTAAAGCAACGATTTCACGGCTCGCCACTTCACGACTTGCAGTGCTCTTTACGGCTCTTGCGGCGGTCCCGCCCAGACCCGGAGAGGACTTGCGTTAGGCCACGCCCACTGCAGCCTGCGCCCTTGGGAGGGGTTTCGCCCCTTTTTCTTAGGGGACTCGTCCTCTGCAGCGCCCTGGGCTGCCCTCCACGCTCTACGCCCTGTAGAGACTGCAGGAGCCCTGCCCAGGGAAGAGAAGCAGAACCCTACACTCTTGAAATGGGACTACCCACTCTGAGCTGTATTAACAAATTAACAATTAAATCTAATCTTGTATGAAAATGGAGGACACACCTCCCCAAAGCTTCAGCTTTTTTAAACTAGGGATGATGGTATTACAAATGTAGTGTTATTATGAAGATGACCGGAAATCATGCGTGGGACTCAACTAGCAGCAGCTGATGCAAACTTAATACAGGGTGGCTTATTATTACCCGGAATCATGATAGGTTTCAGGCAGGAAAGAGGGCGTTAAGTTATATTCTTTCAACTCTTTTGTCAGTAAGAGACTGCATCAGCCTGTTCTCCATTCTCAATATGCCACACGACTTTTCAAGAGGACGTTTTATATATAGTCATGAAGGCTATGTTAACCGGTTGGATGAAAGTATTTCAAATTGTATATAGCATCAGCACTCTCTACCCCATGATAGTGTTAATGTACACAGATATGATTTAATAAAAAAAACACACAATTTACAAACCTAGAAAGGAACTTTTATTTCTTACAGGTTATAGCTTGCAAGGTGGCCATTTTGACTGATTTAGAAGCATATCCTCTGCCCTAGCTGGCAAACAGTTTCCTTGAAGGAAAAGGGGGTGGAACAGGAATTTATGCCGAACAAATTGGCCTATTCAATGGGCCATAGGAAGATCTATGATTTTTCATGAAAGGGAGACAGACATGTGTGATAAGCAAATATGCATGTTACTCATGACCCATGTTCACTTTGGGGTGGAGAATGAACATTTAAATGTATTATAATTAGGCCCTATTAAGTCAAAAGGTGAAGCAGGCATATGGGGCACTCAAGCAGGCAGCCTCTGTAAAACAAGCCAGAACCAGTCCATGATCAGTGGTTCTTCTTATGAGAAGAAAGTTTTGAGAAGCCAGTCTCTTGTCCAATCAAAGCTGTTGTTAGACTAGGGTCAGATAGTCAGCCTCCATCAGTGGGTGAGCTGCAATTGTTTTAATATTGCTTATCTTGATGCTAGTGCTTCTTTAGCTGCTAGAGCAGCAGTTCTCAACCTGTGGGTTGTGACCCCTTTGGACTGTATTAAAGGTTTGCGGCATTAGGAAGATTGAAGAACCACTGTGCTAGAGAAAAAGAAAAGCCTTGTGGCAGTAAGAATACAGTTTATTCTTGTGTAGAGTTGCATGACCTACCTCTTGCCCTCATGGGCTTAGGTACTTTATTGCCACAAGAGTCTCTTCTGCAAGTCTCATGATTTCTATTTTAATATTAATGCTGGTCAATTGTGTCTGAACTGCAGGAAGGAGAAGGTGTGAGGTGAGCCCAGCCTCCCTCCCATTGTGGCTGAGAGGGCAGTTTTTAAGGTTTCTTTAGGGTGCCCTTGGCCAAAAGGCAGACTGTTTAATTGGTTGGCGGGCTTAGGATTTATTTTTACTAATATACTATATTAGTAAATATTATATGTCTATATTTAGTCCCCTGTTTAAGGACTTGGCCAAAAGTCAATCCTAGGAATGGATCTAAACACTTGCACACACACATACGCACACATACACTCAAACAAAAACCAAAATTACCCTTGCATCTGTTTCAGCTACTTTTAAAATTATTACTGGCCAAGCATGGGGACTCATGCCGTAATCCTAGCACTCCAGCCAAGGCAGGAGGAGTGCTTGAGCTTAGGAGACCAGTCTGAGCAAGATCAAGACCCCATCTCTCACAAAAATAAATAAATAAATAAATAAATAAGCCAGACACTGTAGTTGTGGAGGGTGCCTATATTCCCAGCTATTTGGGAGGCTAAGGCAGGAGGATCACTTGAACCCAGAGTTTGAGGTTGCTGTAAGGTAGGCTGATGCCACAGCACTCTAGCCTGAGCAACAGAGGGTGACTTTGTCTCAAAAAAAGAAAGAAAGAAAGAAAGAAATTATTATTGTTATATGCTGGGCATTAAACACTTACTTAATCTTCACATAACGTCTTGTGAGATATATATTTCCTTTGCTGTCTGAGAAGACTTCAAAGAAATGGCTTCTTAGGGAGGGTTACTTTATGTCAACTTAGAGGCTGTTAGCTTGCAGGGAATTCAGCTGTCACTCATTCACATATTGGCCTGGGAATGGGAATTTTAAATGGGTGAACATAGTGAGGAAGAGGCACTTAGACTGAACAATGCTGAAAGGAACACTGAAGTAAGTTTGGAGAGAAGTAGACTCCACTTATGGGTTGTAAGCAGGTAGCTTCCTAAAGAATCATATGGACAATCTCTTTTGGAGGTGATTAGAGGTGCTCGTTGTCCCAGGAATCACCAGAACCTGACTGGATCTTTAAGTAGTGGACTTTTACAGTAGGAAAAGGGGCTAAATGACAGAAAGAATCCATGTTGTTTGTTCCTTTTTATATCAATAGGTTGTTCCTTTTTATTGCTTAATAATATTCCGTCACATGGATATAACAATTCGTTCATTCAAGTACCAGTCGAGGGGCATTTGAATTGTTTTCAGGTTGGCCTGATAAGAATCATTCTGCTTCCACATTCATGTATAATCCTTCTTGTGGACGCATTTTCATTTACCTTGAGTAGATCCGTAGGGGTGAAATTGCTGTGTAGTATGGTAGGTTTATGTTTAATTTTTAAGAAATGGCAAAAGTGTTTTGCTATGACATTTTACATTCCCCTGGTCAAGAGTTCCAGTTTCTCTACTTCGCTGCCAGTACGTGGTAATGTCCGGTTTGGGATTGTAAGTGTGGGTGATTTGTCATTGTGAATTTAATTTGCATTACCTTAAGGACTAATGATGTTCAGCATCTTTTCATGAGCTCATGACTATTTGTATATTTTCCTGTTTTTCTATCGATGTTTACTTGGTCTGCTATGCTTCTCATGGCCAACCAATGATTTTGATGAACAATTTGATAAACTTTTTGCCATGTTTTTGTCAGCTTTGTTCACTACCAGCTGCCCTGACCTCTGTTCACCAGTGACACTTTGGCTCCCCTCAGGACACATTTCATTCATTTGTACACTGCCATTTTCTTCATGGCATTAGCTGCATAAACTTGGAATAATTTCACTCTAACTCTTGCCAAGTTTAACAAGAAATTTCATGTTTATTCATACCCAGAACCAACATGTGGTTTATTCCCCGATTTCTTATTTCTGTGCATCAACCTTAGAACCCAAGCTCAGGAAATGAATGCAAACTTCTGGGCAACAGAAATGGACTAGGCTAATTAAGTACAGCTGGAGTCGATTAAGTCTGATGAGAAAAGAGGGAGAAAGGTTGACAGATGAGCAAAGACGGATCCTCAAAGTCTCATAGGTCTTGAACAGAAGCTTGCATTTGTATAAAGGTATTCTTCTTCTTCTTTTTTTTTTTTTAAGACAGATTCTCACTCTGTCATCCTGAGTAGAGTGCCATGGCATCATCATAGTTCACAGCAACCTCAAATTCTTGGGCTTAAGCAATCCTCTTGCCTGAGCCTCCTGAGCCGCTGGGACACAGGAGCCCACCCCCCACTCAGCTAGTCTTATCTATTTTTAGTAGCAACAGGATCTCACTACTGCTTAGGCTGTTCCCAAACTCCTGAGCTCAAGCAATCCACTCTCCTCAGCCTCCCAAAGTGCTAGGAATACAGGTGTGAACCACCGTTTCCTGCCCAAAGTTTTTTTGTTTTTTTTTTTTTTTTTTAATTATAGGAAGACTTAAAAGAAAAAGACATATATTATTTTTCTGTGGTATATTTAATGTTGTAGGAAGTATTTGGCTACATGAATTATTTTAACTGAATATTTCATATAGGATCTTGGCATTTTTGTTATGAGTTAAATGACTTAACCTGTTTTATAAGTTAAAAATGTTCAAGTGAAAAAATTAAGTATGATATCAATAAAGTTCATTGTTTTACTTAAGGTAAATAAAAAGTCCAAATAAAGTTTTTATTTCCTCATAGTTGAGAGAGATCCTTATCCTGTCACGAAGAATGTCTTTTTCATAAAACTGGGTTTCCACGGTTTGCTTCAAGAAGTTAGAAGTTCTCTTGCATTCCAACTACAAGTTTGTCCTGAACTAGCTACCTAATAAAATTATGTTTAATGGGTTGTTAGTGAAATTATTTTTGGTATTTGTGCACAGTCCTAGAATTGTATTGCTAGGGACAGCCAAGATGATAGCTCAGATTCCCCATCAGCTGCTTCTCCAACTTGGCTTGAAACCTTTCCAGGCCTCTGAATCCAAAGCACACAGATTGCATAATTGTGTACCCAGGCTGAGGTGACAACGACTTCACCATGCCTATCAGAGCCAATTAACTATGTAGGTCACGAGGAAAAAGTGACACTGTAACAAGGCAGAGCAGTATACACTGAAAGCTTAGTCCACACTTATTTTTGACACTATAAAAACTGCTGGTCCTGGGCGGAAAGGCCAAACGTCCACATTTTGGTTGTGACGTGAGGTCTGGCCAAGTGCTTGCTGCCGGACACCGCATTCCCTCTGCTCAGGTGGTTCCTGGGCTCCTAGCAGCATTCCTTGTCTTTGTGTATTGCAAAGTCATCCAACAAGCAAACAAATAAAACCTTTTTGCTTCCTATGGAAAGAACCATGTTTGTGTTTTGTTTAAAGCATGAAGAGGGGCAGATCTAGGTTTTGTGAAGCCTGAAGCTCATACTATTCAGGGTCTTCTGTATAAAAAGAACTAAAAGTTATTGTACTTCTGC